AGCCTTCTTCGACATTGAAGGGATATACAGATAGGATAGTGAATAATCCTTCTGGGGAGGAATGGAATATTTGATCGACAATTTCGTACTCAGTTAAGTATTCTTCAGGGATGAGGCCTATAATTTGGTTTTGGAAACCAAATGTATAGTACTCAGCATCCAATGCTAGACCTAATGATGTTCCTTTTGGTAAAGTAACACTATTCGGTGTAACATTGTTGACCATGATATAGGTGGGATTCTTACCAATACTTACCATTGGTGTATATGTTACCACCATCCCTAATTGTTGTATCCTGTTGGATAAACAGATTAGGGCATCAGAGTTTTCCAATCTCTGACCCTCCTTGACCTGTAGGGGTAAAAGAAAATGACTTGTCCCCTGTGGAATGGTTATGTCATCAGGAACTTGGATACTTACCGCATATGGGAGTATTTGTCCTGATTTCAGGGCGTTTTCCTCATGTAGGTATCCACAAGGATTACCTTTTAACCTTGTCCACAAGTTGGAATTAATCAGGTCAAGGTGTATGGCAAAACGATGTATGACATCATTGCCAACGTAAACCTGATAGCGAGGTTCATTTATCACTAAGAATAAATGTTTAACGGTCTTATTTCCGATGGAAATAGATAGTAAACATTTTGCTATCACATTGTGACTCTCTGATTCGCCATCCAGATTCTGGATCCACCTGTCATGTGGGGAAGCGTACCTGATCATTTTAGGATTAGCGATCTGCTTTAACAGACTTCTGCTAATATAGCTGTTCTCACTCTGTAAGTCCAGCTTTGCATTCCTACTTCTTCCTAAGTCATGTATTTGAATAGGAAAGAATAAGTTGTTATTAACCCTTTCAATTCTGGCAAGGAATTGAGCATGACCTGCCAGATCTACAGATTCAACATAGTCCCTGTGGAGAGAAATGGTTAAAACATCACCTTCCAGAGAGACATTCTGGATCCTCTCTGGAGCAATTCTTATGGAATGCTCATCTACAGGCGCGATTGCATCATTCACCTGCAGGATAGTCACGTCAGGTGACTGACTATTTCTAAAATGTACCTCAATTGAGTCAGGTCTTTCTTCTATAACATGGCAGTTACGATCAGATCGAACATGTGATTTCTCATAGGTTATGGGAACCTTAGCTTGTGACCATACAATTCCATTTACACAGTCAATAATTGTGTTAAGTCTTCTGAGTATGTCTATACCCAGAATCAGACGGTCATAGGGGAGATCTACCACTATCACCGGGTGTCTAAAGGTTTTGTTACCTATTTTAAACTTTAACCATGTATTGCCAATAACATGAAGGGCATTTCCTCCTACACTCAACAGAGCATTGGGGAAATCTCTTAGCTTCGGCTTATCCGTTGCTAAGTCCATTACCTGCTGGAAGTAGGTATTGGATAAGATAGTGGCTTGTGAACCAGTATCTATTAACCCTTTAAAAGGCTGGGGTAGCGAATCCTGTATTTCTACAGACATGTAGTACCTTCCTTCATGTTCTTCTAATTCACATAAGAATTTAGAATGTGTCAACATATTACTTGTTTTCCATACATTACCGGTCACAGCAGTAGTTTCTACCTGTACTGAGGAATGCTCAGTCTTACCCACAGGCCCATCCTTTTTAGGAATATCTTGAACTGTCAAGCGGGAACTAGTGGTCGGCATCTCATCAGTTAACCCTTTCAGGTCTGGATCCTGGAAACTAGTGGCTGCTGGGGCTATCTTAGCCTTTGGCTGAAATGAAGAAACAGAGGAACACGTTGCGCCTCCTTCACCCGGAAGTGAAGTGACGGTATAGGCAATAGATTTTCTAACACAACTTTTGTTTGTTTGACTGTTAGTACCTGGAAAGGAAACAGGGTTAGGCATTACATCTACTGATAACCTAGCCTGTTTAGTCACAGTGGCTATTATTGCTGCGGCACCTGTGGTTGTTGCTGCGGTTGCACAGGTAGTTCTGCAATTGGAGCTATCCCTAAAAAAGGATTGAGAGCAAAGACTTGGTTAATCTTTGTCATTTCCTCCATTAATTTGCCCATCTGGTCTGTCAATTGACCAACCTGACGACGCAAATTATTTCCCCCATTGCCGTTTTGTCTTTGCCCATTAGAATTTGGTTGGGATGGCTGAGACTGTTGGGAGTTACTGGAAGCAGATTGGTTATTTCTGTTTCCATATCTCCTATTTCCCTGAGGATTCCTTCTCCATTGGGAATTGCCTTGGTTTTTATTAACCCAGGGGCGTTTATTCCCATTGGTATTGGATTTTTCAGAGTTATTAGAGGAATTTGCAGAATTGCTTCTGGCGTTTTCCTGTTTCTGAGGTTTTGGTGTTTTCAGAACCTCGGAATAGGTCCTCTTTTTCTGTTGGGTTTCTAGACCTAACTGAATTTTAGTCTCTGACACCATTTTATCACCAGGTTTTTTAACCTTTGGCTGATTTTCGTCATGTGCATGGTGTATAGTATACAATTTCATGCACTGACTGACTAGCCATTCTAATGGTAACTTACAATCGTAATCTCTTGCGAGATTCATTTGTATGTTTACTGGCATGGCATGAAAATACAGATCTTTGAAGTCTGTGCTTTCATACCTGGGTTTTCTTTGGGCCACGGAGTATGCATTTTTAAGAATTATTAAAAATTCTCTGGGGCTTTGATCTGGACGGCACTTTAAGTTATAAAGCGCCTTCTTTGCAGAGGCAATGGTTTTATACTTACCATATTCCATGATTATTTCATATTTCATCTTGGACCAGGACATTAACTGTATAGCTTGAAGACTTTCTAGATAAACACGGCACATTGAATCAAAGGTCCATGTAATGAACCATTTCTTATGAATGTCATCATACATGCCCAATGAATTCATTGCTCTATCATAATTTTCCAGATGTTCAGATATGTTTCCTGAACCTCTAGAAAATTGTGGGACAGTCTCTCTAAGGAATTTGATGACCTTTGGTGTTTCATAAACAGGCGTCGTTGATTTACGACCTCTGTTTCTGTGTTTGGGTAAACGTCTATGCGATCTGTCTGCTGAAGAGGAATTAGACCCGTACAACAGTGCAGATGGCATATCAGTTACATGGCCTTCAGAGTGGATAGTGCAATCACTTTCACTCCCATCACTCTGAGCTTCTTGTTCACTGTCACAATTCTGATCAGCATCAGAATCCTGCCAGTGTACAGAACCATGTCTGTTTTCATTCCTATCACCTTGAATTGGACTCTCCCTCTCAAGTTTGGTCAAGACAGCTTTTTCAAACTGTTCTGCCCAAGATTGCCAAGATGGCTTGGTAATGTCATGAGATGGGGAATCTTGTTCCACAGGTGATTTTTTAGAATTACTCACACCTTTACTTACAGACTGTTTTATGAAAACCTGGTTTGGTGTGGGAAAATCATAATAAGGAGGGGATTTACAGATAGTCTTTTCTTGCATTTTTGTGCAACTTTTTGGCACAGAATGATGACTACCAACCTCACTGTCTAATTTCTGACTCTCCTTTTCATACTCATCCAATTGCATTTTAAGCTGATTTATTTCCTGTGCATATTTATCCATCAAAGCTTCCATTTCTTTTTCATGATCAGCCTGACGAGTTTTATGCTCAGCAAGTAAATCTTGGTATTTCCCATTTTGAATGCCCAAATCGTCACTGTACGTGTTCAATTTGGCATTCAATGACTTGTTTTCATCACACACCTTAAGAAGTGCTGTCATAAAGAAAGGCCAAGAGTGTATTATGAACGCCATTTTCCTTTCTATGTTCTTTTGTTCAGCAATTTCTTTAAGATATATGATGATGTGTTCATCAGTTAGAATGGTGTGTTTAGCTTCCCATTCTATGCTTTTCAACCAAACCTCATAGGTTGCATCATTTTTCATATGTTTATGAATATGAACTAGAGCATGTTTTCTTAGGTCTTCAATTATTTCAGTATTATCTGTTACAGATTTATCACTGCCACTGGCCATTTTTATTTTTATTTTATTAATTAATCTCAATACAAAACTCTTTTCTATATTAAGATTAAATTGCATGAATTACACCAATATTATTATTATATATGAAATACAATTTCAACTTAAACGATCTCAGCACCGTGCCTCCAATATGTGGGGATATTTATGGGATAATAATAGTAACAGTGAGAATTGCCCACTAATTCAATTCTCAGATCCCAAAGAACGTTTATCGTGTTAAGTGGAATGTATTTCATATAATAATATCACAATGTATAAAAATAGATTTTTATTTATAATAACAAATTAATAATAATAATATGTAACATGCATGATAATAATCAATGAATATCCAGTATAAAATTATATGCAATACAAAGAAATGGGTATTACGTTACAATGGCTAAATAGCATTTCCTGTCAAGAATTCCGAGGATTTATGAGGTATCCTTAACACAGACTTTTCACAGCTAAGAACAGAATTCCTCAGAGTGCAGCGTAAGGTCGTAAAGTTTAGCAGACAGTTAGAATAACCCTTTCAATGCTGGCTAGATCTCCTAGGTAGTTAAGATCTATTCTTATGTATTTTTAAATAAAATAACATTTAAACCAGTTTAAATTCATTTTCTTAAACCATCCAATAAGAGAGTCTAATATGTTATATAAGCAGATTTTTAATTTGTCTAAAAGATATCTATCTTAATTTAGAGCAAATCAATACACCTGGATAAAAACAGCGGTATGCTAACATGTGATAATATCACATCAATATATAATTATTCTTAATTCCACCTGCAGAATGGAATGGTTATAACTATATATTCTTAGTTAACTAAGATTTCTTAATATGGAAATCTGACCGTGCTTTATCCAGTCATATATAATGCTATTAATACATTTTAATTAATTTAATTTAATTAAATGAAACCAGTATAATTACCAGTTGAGTAGATATTTCATCCGATTGGTAGCCTCAGGAACTTATTTGGATGTCTCTCTCTGCATGGAGGTTGGAGTCCCCAAACTTCCAATTCCTCTCTCCTCTTTTTCTTTGCATCTCTTGCATCTGCCTCCTTCGTATTGTCTCTCTATCTTCCCTTTGTCTTAACTTTTAAAGGGCCAGACTCTCTGTACGTCATCAGTTGATAACCCAATAGAAGCACTAGAGGTGTGGTTATCTTCCAGATCGCAAATTAGTTATTTGGTCTGTAGAGGGCAGTCTTGTCCCACTAAACATACCTATCCAGGAAAGAGTTAACTTTTCCTGGTGGCTATTTTGACGTCATTTTGGCCTATCTAGATAGTGGTCATAATTCAGATTTCAAAGGGTTTCTTAAAGTTTTGTCCAGACTTAGCGTCTGCAATTCCTGCCATAATTTCTGATATGACAGATCATGAACTAAGTTTACCCTTTTCCATACAATGGTACCTTATATATATAGACAGTTAAATATTAAATTTAATCTTCTCTGTCACAATTGTCTGGGTTTAGATTTGATTATATTCCATTAGCATTTTAGACAGTCTATCCAACCCCCTTCCTTATCACTTGTTTGTATATACTATGCATTCCTCAGATCTGGGAAAGTGGTTAGCTTACAGATAGAAATATAGTGTCTTTTTGTTAACTTGAAATAACAAAATGGAGTCTGGTCTGTTCAGAGTGACTCAGAATATACACTTTTAGTTTCTATCATAGCACAAAATGTCTGCCGATATAAATACTCTGACACACTGCTCTAGGCAAGAGCTCCCCAATCTTTTTAACTTATTTTATTTTGTGTCAGGGCAAGTAGGTTGTCCTTATGGTAGATTGGGCTACCACTTTAGTCCCTTAGACAAGTAGTTGTTTTTTTTTATTCTTGCTGTAGCTGTAATACCATACCAAGCACATGTCTGTGTTTGACCATGCATGCTATATAGCATATCAACTAACCTCTCTTACTATGTTTAGGATGTCTTGGACCAAACACAAAAGGAGTTCTCTTGTTTTAGTAGCGTAGATGAACTGGAGAAGCTATTGGAAGTCAAAGCTGAAATCAACCAGGTAAATCCTGTCGTGCACTATGGGTTGCTTTCTCTGTGTTGGTGAAACTTACCTCTTTCTTCACATTGTCTTGTGTCAGACAGGAAGCTCAACATAACATATCAGGATTATTCGCAAAGTGGGAATTTTAGGCCAAATGAATGCACATTTTGTAATATTTTATATTTGTAATTACTATAAGCAAAGTGGGTTGTAAAATCACTGTGAAAACACTGACAGGATTATTTACTAAGGTGTTAATTGTTTAACATTTTCGGTTTACTGGTGGGTGTGTTGTTACACAACTACCTGAGCCATGTCTTTTGGCCACTCCTAATTTAATGCATTGAAAAATAAGAGAATTTGTTGGCTCCAGTCTGAAATGTCACATTTAGTGGGGGGGAAATTAGGCTCACCTAAAAATCTGTAGTGTAGGTATTACTAATTCTGCTTATTTTGACATTCTTTGCAGAAGAGTCTGGAACTGGAACTGTTGCAGCTAGAGCAAGAGACTGCTGATATTGCCCACCCTTTTTTCCTAAGTAAGTGGAATATCTTTGATTACCAATGTGTTAGTTTGCTTTAGGGCACAGTTAAAAAAACAAAACCCATTTGCATTTTTTTCTGAGCAGAAAATTAACTGCACTCTCTGGTTTCAAAAGGAGCAATTTATTATTATTTATTTTTAACTTTTTCTTGTATGTTTTGTGTGTCTGTCGGAAAAATGTACTTTATTTTATGTAATACATTTATACAACAGGCCAGAAATGTCAAGCCTTACAAGTAATGAACAGTCACTTGGAGGCTGTGCTGAAGGAGAAACGTGCCATGAGGCAGAGATTGGCTAAACCGCTGTGCCAGGAAAACTTGCCCATTGAAGCATCATATCACAGGTGACAGCATGATTTAACTGGGTGGACTGTTAGGAGATTTTATTTTTTTTATAGCCCTCTTTGTATCCCTTTCTTGTAATTGTCCTATTTATAGCTAAATCCTCCCTCTCATAATATTGTAAAGCGCTACGGTACCTGTTGGTGCTATATAAATGGCAATAATAATATCCTATTCTAACAGCAAAATAGGAAGTGAATTCTCAGTAGCTTGTTCTGCTTTTCTTTAGATATGCATCTGAACTTTTATCCCTCGCTGTGAATTTCATTGACAAGCTAGAAGTGTATCTCAAAACCATCCAGACAATTCCTCAGCTTCAAGAGCAAACTAATAACATGGTAAGTTATAGCAACATTCTGTCCGTTTGCAGGTTTCTCGGGAAACTTATATGCCACATCACCCTGTAACTAGAAACTATTTTCCAGCCTCCAGGTTGGGGACTTCATACGTCTTACTAGTTGTAGTGGGAGATTTGGTTTATCTATTGATTTTTGTATTTTGCTCAGGGCACTTTATCTGCATTTCCTATTTATTCTGTCTCCCAGGAAGGTATTATATTACTGTATCATGTTTATTATGTTTCACTAGCTTTACTTGGTATTTTAAGAATTGTTTGCTCTTTCACATGCATCCTTGTACCTGGGACGACTGTAGTGTGCCTGGTTAATTTGTATTCTGCTGTGACAAGTCTAGAGCAGGATGGTTCTACATCAGCCCTACAGCTACTGTTGGATTCGAAGTCTCATCAGTAGCTTTAAGAAGTTGTACATGCCTGTCTTACTGTATTCTAATTTATTCTCAATGTTTCATGTGATCTGTAATTCAAGCTGTGGCAGCTTGTTAGCACTGGTACCACACCTGGATACTTGGCAATAAAATGTGTGTGAAGGCCACTATAATATTGCAGACAGCTGGCTAACTTACCATGATTTGGTTTCAGGATAATGCTCTGGTGAGAATAGAGTCTCTGGAAGCTGAGGTCGAGGAGCTGGTTGAGCGGATTCTAGCATGGAGAGAGGAACAATATGGACTTCTTCAGGCCACATATAGGAACAGCCATGGGGCAGGTTCCAGAAACACAAATGGAACAACATCCTATCTCTCTATGGAGAACTTCTATCCTTAGCTTTCAGGTGCTGATGCTTTTGCTAAACAAGGATGAAAGCAAGTACGCGTGAGCATACAGTCATTTTGATTCCATTACCTGATCTCACACTTTGTATTTTACAGCCTGCACTACACTTTAAATCTCTGATTCTGTTCTGAAGACTAATTATTAGAGTCCCTGCTGCACCAGGTTGTCATGGTTTACTTTAGTTTGTTGTATGACTTTTGTGAGCACAACTTTCATTGGAGCAGTCAACTAAACATAAATGCACTAAAAGGGAATCGTGTAAAATAATTTTACAGCTGTAGCAGTTGAGTGGCACTTAAAGGACCACGATAGTGCCAGGAAAACATACTCGTTTTCCTGGTACTATAGTGCACTGAGGGTGCCCCCACCCTCAGGGTCCCCCTCCCGCCAGGCTGGATGGAGAAGCAGGGGTTAAACTTACCTCTTTCTCCAGCGCCAGGCGGGGAGCTCTCCTCCCTCTTCTCCTCCTCTTCGGCTGAATGCGCATGCGCAGCAGGAGCTGCGCGCGCATTCAGCCAGTCCATAGGAAAGCATTCACAATGCTTTCCTATGGAGGCTGGCGTCTTCTCAATGAGATTTTGGCTGTCAATGAGACAGCCACTAAAGGCTGGATTAACCCTAACATAAACATAGCAGTTTCTCTGAAACTGCTATGTTTATAGAAAAAAGGGGTTAACCCTAGATGGACCAGGCACCTAGACCACCTCATTAAGCTGAAGTGGTCTGGGTGCCTATAGTGGTCCTTTTAAGCATAATTTGATGAGTGGGGAACAATTGGTGCAATCTAAATTAAAAATCTAAATGGATACTGTAGGCCCTGTAAATGCTTTGTTTTATTGAAGTGATTATAGCGTCTGGAATCTGCTGGTACTTGGCTTTTTAAAAAATGGTTTTTGGTATTAAACCATCTTTAATAGTGGCCAGAGACCCTTATTCTCTGAGACGATTTAACGCTGAACAGAGTGACAGTGCCAGGGGACTCTAGTCACTATGAAATGGTTAGAGTGACTGCAGTTTCCTTTTATTTCCTTATTTGGCTAATCCGATTATTTTTATTTTTTTTATTTATTTTTTTGTGGAAACTATTTTGCATGTTTTGTTAAGTGGTTTAATAATTTCTAATATGATGAAGTTCTTTGTTCGTGACTATTGTACCACTGTAGGACTTGACTTCATATTGTCATTTGTTGAAAATTCTACATAGTACCCATCGCTGCTCGGATCTCTATTCCCTTTGACTCAAACAACTAAAGCTGCAATTACTAATTGGATTCCTTGAGCATTGATACTAAATGTGTCCTTTCAGGTTTTTTTTCAGTACTGTATTCCTTTTGTGGGCATTTTCCATCCATCTCTAATGCTCTCTGTACATTGTGTTATTGATTTTTACTTAACAGTACAGCAAATAGGCATACATCCATTTTTCTCCAGGTAAAGAATTCTTAGCTTCAAGGAATCTTTCAATTTCCATGCAATCTTGCACTGTTCTTTCTCTGTATATGAGTTTATAGTAAAGGCTATTGTGACTTTTTGTTTCCACAAAAATACTTTTTATTTTTAACACGATAAGTGCAAAATAATTTAAAACAGTGTTGATAACAAAAAGGAAATGGAAGGAAGTGGAACAAAAGTGGCCATTTTGGAGAATTGGTAAGACAATCTAGGACACGATGCTGGATTAACTGTGCGTCAGCCATTGTGACATGCTTTATCTTACCTTTTTAGAAACTCTACAGTCGGCAAACGGTATTAAAATGCCATAGCAATATAACATAAGACTAGTGACTAGGCAAGTGGCAAACCTCTCTTTAAATCTGGAGGAATATCCAACAATCAGGAGCCTCTTGTTCTGTTGTATGGGATTTTTCTCTTCCCTTAAAGTAGGTTTAACTCCTTCATTACAGATGACATGTCCGGACAATGATATAAGGATTTTTGACAGTGAATGTATCTGTTAAATGCAGAAAATGACTTTTGACAACCTCAACTTTTTGTTACATTAAAAAAACAAGACAACCTTAATTAAACACTCTCCTTTTTCCTTTTGAAGAAATGTGCATGTGTCATTCAAGTTAGAAAACCCATTAATGCAACAAGGTTTGGCTCGTTAGTACAAAACATCCTTTGATAAAATCCCAGAAGGTGCTTTGTCAACGTTACTCTATAAAACCTTTTGGGTCCATCTGGGTCTTGTCTATTAGCAGTCCAGTCTTCTGTGGTCCTTCTTCCAGAGACTCGTCCAGTTTCAAAACCTTTGGAATCAACACTTCCTCTTGGCAAAGCCTTGACATCTGTGATACACACAACCAGATCAGTTTGGTTTAATAATGTTTTTACAGAATTCTAGCAATTTTTTTTTTTTTTTTTTTTTTTTTTTCTAAGCATTGTACAACTGTAGCCAAAATCAATTGCTTACAACATTTGACTTTCTGTCTACCTTTAGTGTTCCCAAGACAACCCATACATACCTCCTGTTGGATCAATGACCTCATTTGCTGATTTCCTTCATTCTTTATGTTGAAGGCAGTCAGCGTTTGGTTCACCTCTCTAAATAGACAAAGAATATGTAATTCCACCTTAAAACTGCAGGAGTAATGCATAATCTGGTCACATTTGCAAATATTTAAGAATAAAATGTGTAAAGTATACATATAAATTCTTATTCATGCATGGTTAAGTCACCCATTATTTTAAGGCATTATGTGGACAAACTCACCTTTTCACAAATTCGTTAGATTCCAGGACCAGCTGATCCTGTAGTGCACTCTGAACATCCGTATCACACAGGCGTAGAGTGGCGATACAGTGACAGGCTTCTATACGCACTGCTGGCACATCACTTCTTATGGATCTCAGCAGAATCTCTTTTACACGAGTGGTCACCTGTCCGATATTGCCCAAAGCTGGAAAAAGGTGTAATAATTTATTGATCTTTTGTACATGTCATTTTAATAAACTCAAGGAGATCTTTATTTGTGTCTTGGTTGTATTTTACCCTGACATCACTTTCTGCATCTGAAACAGACATTGGCATTGGCCTCTTTCAAAGAACTAGTCATGACTCCCCTCTGCAGCCTTGTGTTTTGTCGTCCCGTTTGTAATTGTTCCTGTCCCAGTGCTGTGAGTGAAAGAGCTGCCTATTGTAGTGCTTTCATTACAAAAAACAAAACCAAACCCTGTGAATGAATACTCTATCATATTAAGTAGACCGTGTTAATTGCAGATGGAATAAATTGCTTCTGTAACTAGAAGGAAGTACTTCTGCATAAATATTTAGCATGGAGAAACTGCTAAATGGCCTTTTTACATATAGCAAACACTCATGACCTGACGATAAACTACAGGCAATGAACAGATTTTTTTACAAATCTACTAATTAACCTGTAGTGTCCAGGCTTTAAGCTTTTAAAAAGGCATTCAAGAAAGTTGACTGTTTGACAATCTCATCCTTCTTTTTCACACCTTATGCGGGCCAGTTGTCCCAGCCTTCTTAGAAACCAGTACTTACAATGAATGTGTGCCTCTCTGCATCTTGTCTTTAGCTCTACAACACAGGACTCCAAGCCCTAACCACAGACTAGCAATTAGCCTCCCTGAGAGTGCATAGCAGCACAAGGGTGGAAGCTGTAGTTTTTAAACATCTGGGGATCTACATTTTGGACACCTTTAGTCTAGACCATGGGTCGTCAACCTGGTCTCTACCGCCCACTAGTGGGTGTTTCAGGATTCCAGGTGGGCGGGAGGGATTTTATAATGTTGAGAGATTGGGGTGGGGGGGCGGGTGCGAGCCGGCAGTTCCCCCTGAGACCGGGTACCGCCATCACTACTTGCGGCCCCGGCCCGCACGGCAAACCGCCGGGGCCGCATATGGAGCGTGACCGGGCCCCCTGTGATTACCTCACGCTGGGAGGAAGTGACTGCACGTCACTCCTCCCAGCTAACACAGATCGGGCGGAAAGAGGGAGTCAGAGTGGGAACTCTGACTCCCATCCACCTGAGACACCACTGGACCCCAGGGAAAGTCACCCTCCTGCACCTAAAAGGTAGGAAACAGGAGGGTGACTAAAATATTTTGTGTGTTTGTTTGTGTATGTGTCTTTTTATGTATGTCTTGTGTGTCTTATGTAAGTGTCTTTGTATGTGTCTTTGTATGTCTTTGTATGTGTCTGTCTGTATGTGTGTCTTGTCTTTGTGTGTGTCTTTGTGTGTCTGTATGTTTGTGTGCCTGTCTGTCTGTATGTGTGCCTGTCTGTTATAGTGGGCTATAGTAAGTGGGATACCTCGCTCAGCCTTCCTACTGGGCATTGCTATAAGGAAGGTTTTAAAAAAAAAAAAAAAAAAAAGTGCTATTAAAAGAACACCAGGTTTCTACATGTCCTGGTTTATTATAGATTATTTGTTTGAGGGTTAATCTGAAATATACCAATTGAAACCTGAAACTGTTATCATGGGAAAATGAGGCTTATCACTGACCTTTGATAGCAAATATTTGTATTTTCCAGCTTGCATCATTCAGGATTAGGTTATAGAGGGAGTTTAAAACCTAGAACAAGATAAGAGCAGATTTGTTTAGCATTGAGATGGGAAACTAGTAGATCTGAAGCAGTTTAAATAGAGCTTCAAGCTTTCAAGACCAGTGTTTCTTTTACAGAGAAATAACCCTGCAGGTCTAAAACACATTCCTAAATACTCCTGCCTCGAAAGTAACTTCTATTGATTTACATTCCAAATGAAACAACATATAGACACTGATCCTTAAATTAATCCCATATTGGAGAACAATCCTGATTAAAGGGCGTAAAGCATATTTAAACATAAATCTGGCATATTGAGAATACTGTGTATGTAAAGAGGAGTGTGTGAACTGTTAAAGGAATACTATAGGGTCAGGAATACAAACATGACCCTGTAGTGTTAAAAAAAAAACATGCTAGCTGGCCAGCCGGCCCACTCTTGTCCACCTTAAATAAGCATAAAACATACCTTTTATTCCAGTGCTGCGTAAGTCTGCCGGCACTGGCTTCGCTCCCTTTCGATTGAGATTAACAGAATTCCTATGGTAAAGCATTGGATTGGCTGAGATCATCAGAATTGAAAAGAGGTGGGGCGGGAGCCGAGACAAACACGGCGCAGGACAACCAGCATCTCCTAGTAGAGTTGCATTTAATCAGTGCATATCTGTGGGGAAAGTTCAACGTCTTCATGCAGAGCATGGAGATGCTGCACGTTGTGTAGTGCTGACCAAGAATGCACCTCTATTGGCCGTCTGAGTGACTGCCACTGGAGGTGTCCCTAGGGAGCAATGTAAACACTGCCTTTACTCTGAAAAAGCAATGTTTATATTAAAAAGACTGAAGGGGTTGACTATAATTACCAGAACTACATTAAAGGAACACTATAGGGTCATGGACATAAAACTTTATTCCTGACTCTATTGTTAAAACCACCATCACCCCTCTGGGCCCCTCATGCCTCCCTAAATAGAGCAAAATCTTACTTGAATTGAAGCCTGAAGCTGTAGCTCTGCATGCTGTTTGCCTCAGAATAGCAAGCTGTCTGCTGAACTCATTAGAAGTGGTTGCCTGATTCAATCTGCTTTGCCATATGATTGGCTGAGACTGACAAGGAGGCAGATCAGGGGCAGGGCCAGCATAATTCAAACACAGCCATGGCCAATCAGCTCATATAGATGAATTGAATCAATGAATTTCTATGAGGGAAGTTCAGTGTCTGCATGCAGAGGGAGGAGACACTGAATGTTTGGATGCATTTTAGGCAGCCATGACCCAGGAAGGATCTCTAACAGCCATCTGAGGAGTGGTCAATGAAGTTATCACTAGGATGTAATGTAAACACTGCATTTTCTCTGAAAAAGACAGTGCTTACTGCAAAAAGCCTGAAGGTAATGATTCTACTCACCAGAACAAATTCAACAAGCTGTAGTTGTTCTGGTGACTATAGTGTCCCTTTAAGCTGTAGTTCCTGTGATTATAGTGTCGTTTTAATATTAAGTTTAAAAGTCACAAAATGAAAATACAATACACATGTAATAGTGACACACAGAGAACACTGGCATGCACAAACACATTTGCGTAAAAGACAGTAACCCACAGAGTTACACACGAGAGCCCTGACACACACATTTACACACAGGACACTGACATACATACACTACACAAAGAGGACACAAAATAAATTATTTTTATTTATATATATATATATATATATACACATACACATACACACACACACACACACACACACACACACACACACACACACACACTGACATTCAGACTTTAACTGATTTGACACACATACACCGATGCTCACATTCAATAACAGACACACACATTTACACACAGAGGAAACTTACAACCTTTCCCTGATCAGACACGCTCACTGATTTGACACTCACCGACAGACACACACACACATTCGCCCACAGACACAAATTATTTTTAGTTAGGTTCTCACAGCCTCCCCACCTTTGGGAGAGCTGGAGTAAATCCTTTTCCCTGGGGTCCAGTATGGGGCTTGCATAATCTTTTTGCTCTTCCAGCACTGATCCCTCATGTGCGGTTTAGTGATGCTTGGACTGGAGAGACCTCATAATGGCATCACCTTGCAAGGGAGCAGTGCTGGAAGATCATGAAAATTACAGCTCCCTCAGCCTCCATTCCCCTCTGGACACCACTGTGCTTGGTGAGTAGGCATCTGCTTATCAAGCCGGCTGCCTCCTGGGGGGTTTTAGGTGGCATGCTCTTGACGTACCCCCTGCCTTTAATGCGCGTACACTGGTTGAGAAACCAGGCTCTAGAGCACTTCAGTGCTGTATGAATACTTTGCGGTTAAACTGCATGTTATCTGTTGCTTATTTTATAAAAGTGATGATTTAAAAATAAATCATTACTTTTTATAAATTCCTTTAGTAACACTTCCTGGACAGCAGGGATAGTTTTCTGTCTCTCTTGATTTGAACTGTAGTTCAAAGTGGATATGAATGGTTTTCATTGGTCCAAGTGCAGTGTGGGCAAATACTTATAATGACTTCGTTATTGGCAGCTGGGACTAAAGTGAGCAGTCTGTTCTGACTCTAGAATAAAGATGAGTTTAAAAGCTTTTAAATAGCTTTTTATTAGCTTTTATTGATGACATGGTGCGGAGCAGTAATCTAGACATTTGAATTAAAGAACATATATCTCTATTAAAAGCTGATCTGATTAATGTAGCATAGAGATTGACGACAACATCCGCCCTGTTTAATCTAGAATTTCCGTGATCCTTTTTCTCAACAGAAATGCCACGCTTCTAACCAAGACACAATCTGGTTTTACGATCAGCTGGGAAAATGGCATTGGTGTTACAGTTCAACCTACAGATAGTCGATTTTAGCCCACCTATGATGTAGCAAATAGAATGTAAATACATTTTCACTTTTGATGAAATTGTACAGATGTTTAACACTTTCTGTTCAGCCTTTATAAATGAAAACCATGTATAGATATGAGACCCCTTTTTGGAATATAATTTATATTAAGAGCTTGCTTACACCCACCATCTCATCCTTAATTTGAAGCAAACCAGCTGTAAGACATGCTTGCTGGCGAACATTCACATAGTCATCAGCAAAGCACTGGAGGAATCCAGGGAGTAACTGGGCTGTCATGTACCGGAGCCATCCAATCAGAGAAAGAGCTTCCACTTTCGCTCTCCAGTTTCCGCCTTCTAAATATCTCCTACAAATATTAAGAATAACTTTATACGGAGCAAGTCAAGTAAACACAATCGGCAATGCACAGACAGAATTATCAGATGTTTTTCTAAACTTCGTTAGATTGGGTTTCACTGTCACTTTAGTGGATAGACCCACCTGACAGTGTTTGTTTGTTTTTGTTTTTTTGTTGTTTTTTTGCAATTCCCATTATCCTTAGACTGATCCCTGTCATCTTGGGATCTTGCTGTCTTAAACCATAGAGAGTAATTACCTCCACAAATGTTACATGTGCTGCAAATTTGTTCTGAATTACTCCTGATTGAGAACCTTGTATATGAAAAGAAATTGACTTTTGACCTACCTTATTTGATCATGGACCATGTTCCCTTGGCCCATCTGCCCCAAGGCTTTGGCAGCTGCCCATCGAACTGGCACATTCCAATCCCTCCACATCAGATAGTTTAATTTATTCCTCAAATCCTGCAAAAAAAGAAAGGCTTTTCTAGTTAGGTCATGTTATATAAAATTTCAATTTTAGTAATCTGGGACGATTTGCAGAATTTAGATCAATATGCTGTTGTTTTTTTTTTTGTTTTTTTTTGCACAGCTATGTTTATCACAAAAATTAAAATTTCCTTGTCCTTTCTCCACAATTCCTGCACTGGTGAAATTCCCCTACTGGTGTTTCACATTACTTTAGACCAAAAAATTTTTTAGAATATATTAAAAATGCGATTTTGTGCGGACAAGTTTTGTTGACCTATTTTTAAAAACAGATTTGTTTTAGTTTTATTCTTTTAAATTTGAACATCAGATCAATATTCTCAAGTCAAATGTATAAGCAGATACTCACCTGGCTGGCACTTCCATGGAGCTGAGCAATCGTACTACAAGCCACAATACGATCTCTCCAATTGCAGTTGTTTAATTCATCCCCCAGCATATGATGAATTATATTCTGAGGGAGAAAAAGGCAGCAGAACAGGCAGGGATATTGCTGATCTAAAATGTCACGCTAGCATCTGTATTGTGCACAGGACTAGCTACGCTATCGTGCTAATAACCATCACCACTGATAGGAGTTACAAATCAACAGCGACACATAGCAAACACTATTCATACACTGCAGCTATGTTAATACCATCTTGTAGTTAATACTGACAGTGTTCATTGGCCTCATGTTATGTTATTGTCATTATCTACCTGTTTGTTATCCTATACCTCTTGACATTTCGTATATTCTAGAGTCTAGAATTCAGAAAATGCATGCACTAGAACAGAGTTGACAAACTCCACTCCCTGATCTTCTTGGACTAAACTTTCCAAGATTCTCTCCCATCTATATAATTCAAAGAATTCTGGGTGTCGTAGTCCATCACTATCTGGGTGGCTGGAGTCTAACCCTTACCTAGAACTTAGATTCCATTTACCCAGATGTAATATCTTTGCATGACAGTAACTCACTGTGTTCTTGCTGAGTTGACGCAGTAGATAACAAGCCTGCTTTGTGGTGTCTCTTCCCCCCCCTTCAAACAGTTGAGTGAGGATTCTCTTTACCACCAAATAGCTGTAGTCTCTTTCCAGAGCCAAACACTGAGCAGCGGCCCAGGTGTCTGCATCGTTACCTGGAACAAATAGAAATGTTATGTAGATCCAGCTACTTATTGTGCCACGTTTGACAATGATTACACAGGGCTGACCAGACGCTGTATAGACCTCATGAAAATTGTAGTTCATTCCACGTCAAGGGGTGATCTAGGGAGCAAAATTCAGTTGCACATTGAGTCCCTGAATAATATGATTTCTGCCCAGCCTGTGATAAACATGAGAATTTCCTCAATATGTATTCATTTCATGCAAAGTCTAACAATATAAAAAATCTTTTCTAGACTCTAGCTGGCAAAGCATCATGGAACCTGTAGTTCTACAACCGCTTCAAATCTATTGCTTGACACCTTGTCTACACATTCCAGATGAGGACTGCTATGATAGAAAATGAAGCACAGATTGCACCCACTCACACAATGAGAAGTAAGGCTATGCACCACTCAGCATCCCAGGATACCACAGACCAAACAACATGGACCTGGAACCTGCTGACACATACTTCAAATATTATAACAAAGCACTCCAGAATTCGTGTGAATAGTGCTAGCAGCTCATCTTCAAAAATCACAAAAAAATAGGAAGTTAAGGACTGATACAGTCTAATGCACCTTGTGTGCACAAGATTATGTTCCTATAGGCATGAAAAGCCTTCCTCTATAACCGTACTTATGTTTTTGATTTTTCTGCTTTTGAAAATGTTAATTTTTTTTAATTTAAGTTTTGAATAAATAGATATATTTGTATTTACTTATACAAGTTCACAAGACTCCTCATTGCAGTACTTAAGTTCTCATTTAGATGGCTCTGTAGTCACATTTTCATGTTGTGTAGACCTCCATACTGATGGGCGCCTAGCTTTACTTCCCACTTTTTGTATGACAATGTGGTAGATGCTATTCTGATTATACTCTTTTGTGATCACCTTGTCCTAGCACTATTCACTGCTGAACACCAGTTCATTTAAAGGGACACTTTAGGCACCTAGACCACTTCAGCTCATTGAAGTGGTCTGGGTGTAGTGTCAGATCACCCTTAAAGGACCACTATAGTGCCCTGAGGGTGCCCCCACCCTCAGGGTCCCCCTCCCACCCGGCTCTGGAAGGGGGAAAGGGGTTAAAACTTACCTTTTTCCAGCGCTGGGCGGGGAGCTCTCCTCCTCCCATCCTCCTATTCTCCTCTCCGTCGGCTGAATGCGCACGCGCGGCAAGAGCTGCGCGCGCGCATTCAGCCGGTCACATAGGAAAGCATTCATAATGCTTTCCTATGGTCGCTGGCGTGTTCTCACTGTGAAAATCACAGTGAGAAGCACGCAAGCGCCTGTCAACGAGACAGCCACTAGAGGAAACCGTAGCTGGACCTGGCACCCAGACCACTTCATTAAGCTGAAGTGGTCTGGGTGCCTAGAGTGGTCCTTTAACCCTGAGAACTGATTTAGGTCTAACTTCTCTCAGGATATTTACCCTGCTTTGTAATTAAGCGACATTCTAACCAGTTTCTATATAAAAAAAATCTTAATTGAGTAGGTGGGAAGTTATACTTGAATAATTTAAAATCCTATCACTGCGAACCACCAGAAAGGACATGCTCTATTCTCACACTATACACAAGACCTAATACAATAATTATTGCGGATTATTTTTCGCATTACCAAAGAGCAACCATGTTTTGTCCCTGGAGTTAAAGCAACAACTCACAGTTCATCCCAATAATAGCTTTATTTTACATGTAGTGCTACAAGACGAAGAGACATACCATTCTCCAGGACTGAAAGGAAGATCTTTCTCACATCTTCGCTTGATTTCCAAAGAAAGAACAGACACAGAGCCGCTGCCATGCTCACCAGAATATCTTCATGTTTTAGTGCATTCCAGATGAGGGGAAGCATGTCTGCAGGTACATCGGAGACTGCCTCTGTTTCGAAACATTCATAGAAAAAAAGGAATTAGGGACACACCAGGAAGATACATTTCTCAGCAGCGATGCTGCAGTAAAGAAAAACATTTATACAAAATACAGATTAAGGAACTGCACACACACAAATTAGATTTACAGTTTACAAGGCCACTTAAAATCCCCTATCTCTGCACAAAAATAGGGAGATTCAGTTCCACAGTATAGGCATATCTGTTGAGAATAATTAGAGAGTTTAAAATATGCCAAGCTTATCTGTAAATTTGGGGGGGACAACATTGTGCCTGTAACGCCAGAAAGGATTATGGGAGTGGGGGGATGTAAAAACCCATTCACACAAATTCAGGCTAACTAGAGTTAGCCATCCCACTTGTGGTTATGGTCATGATTGTGTAAGTTACATGTACAGTGGCTACCTAAAGGCGAACCATGCCATTTGTTGTTTGCGTCAACTGCTGCACAGGTAAGCTTAAAGAGGGATTACATCTTTAGGATATGTAAAAGAGAGAAACTAATATTCATGTTATTCATACCTCTGAAACCAGAATATGTAACCATGAACAAAGTAACACCTTGGTTTTTGATATACATTTTAAAGTAGTCCATATAGAATGTGCAGTGTCCTAAACGCTTTCCGAACCTACGTGTAACTATATGCATGAAGAAAACCGTATGGATCAGAAAGCACTGCATATCAGAATTTACTATGTGTGTTTGTGTATAATTTTGATTATTCATTCAGACATTTACGGTACTCCTGGATATCTCTCACGTACCCAACATTTTGGAACTTGACTCATCTCGTGGTCGATTAAGGACAGCTGAAGCAATGGTTACCAAAGCTGATATTTTCTGTGCACTGTGGATGCTGCAGAGATCCCTCTTCAACCGTTCCAGTGTGGCATTCTTCCAACTGACACCTATCGTTAAAGGTAGCCAATAATGGCATTTAAACTGAGCTTTATTACCTCTCTTTTGAGTCAGCTAGTATTGTATAATTACAGGTAAAATGAACATGTCTCTTTAGTTGCTTTGTGGATGAACCTTAACTGTTGCCATTATTGGCAGCATTTTAGAGTGACTTATTTGGAGAAAAAAAAAAAAACAATCTGTCTAAATAGCTGATGCTTCAATACATGGACTTCCCCAAGACCTCTGAATGTGTCATGTAGTATGTTGCACCAAGACATTAACCGCAGATCCTTAAAGTTCTGCAAGCTGTGAGGTCTGGCCTCCATGGATCAGACTTGTTGTTCCAGCACATCCCACAAATGCTCTACGTGTCTATCGGATTGAGATCTTGGGAATTTGAAGGCCAGTGCAACACCTAGAACGTTTTTTTTTTTCTTTCATGTTTATCAAACCATTCCTATACAATTTTTGCAGTGGGGCAGGGTGCATTATCCTGCTGTGGGAAGACCATTGTCATGAATGGGGTGTATGTGTATCATGCTTCTGTAAAGAGGCCTATGATAGATGAACATGTGTTGTTGCTTGATTAGTCATAATCTTGTCTGGTATATGAAATCTGCACTGTGTTTCGAGTGATGCATCGATATGGAAATGGAGATGATTCCTTAATATAAGGCCCAAAAGTATAAATGTGTCCATTATTGATTTAGCGGCAACCCTGTTTATTTTTTATTTTTTTTGCTTGTTTCTATTATTTGACTAGTACATATATCTACATTCCTCAGCCCTCCTGGTATTCCCCCATCCTGTTCTCCTTTTTAGTAAATTCATTACTAAGCTGTATAGGCCTCTGAGCTGTAAAATCTATGAAGAATGGCAACACATTGTTTTGCCAATTAAACAGTGAATGGGTTATTCATACTTCTAAAACCAGAATACGCAGGTTTAAATGAACAATTCAACCAGAATGTCAAATTGTAGGACAAAGAAACTACATTAAAAGCATAGCTGACATGGCGAATTGTTCCATAAAATATACTCTTTAGTCACCTACTTTGCAAAGACTTCTCATTCGCACTTTATTGAATAACCCTGAAACTGTTTAAATTGCACCATAATTAATCAATTTTTTTTATGTCATCAGTGACCTACTCACTCAACGTCCAGGCTCCCATCCAATGAGTTAGTATGTTGCGCAGCACCTGAAGCTCGCTCAGTGGGGCATCTTCGGCCTTCAGACTTCCGTTGTCTCTATCCTGAGATGTCTTGGCAATTGGTGGTAGTGAACATTTATCAGTCTCATTTATCACAGAGGTAGGTAGGGCAATCCAGCGAATAGGTCCTCTTTCAGGTCTCGTAGCCAGACCAGTATAAAGAAAAAGGACATTTTAAAGCCACTACACCAGGTTAATTTCCACTAAGAACAGTTGTGGTAGAGAATTACCTGAGTCTTCCTCCGTAAAATCGTAATTCTGGTATGGTTTAGGAAGAATTTCCTGAAGATGTTTTTTATACTTATTGTGGCACTCTGTGTAAATGATATTCTTTTCATTTTTCTGGTGAATAACTGTACTTGTTCCTTTAAAAACACATGTATACAATTAATAAACATGCTTACTATTGCATAGGATAGATGCAATTGATGTACACATTCATGTCATTTGTCTACATCATTTAAAGGAGCACTATAATGCCCGGAAAACAAACTAGTTTTCCTGGCACTATAGGGTTATTAGGTCCCCCCTCCCGCTGGGCTGAAGGGGTTAAAACTCCTTCAGCCACTTACCTTAATCCAGCGCTGGGCTCCCTCGGCTCTGGTGACCTCTCCTCCCCCTGCCAACGTCAGCTCCGAATGTGCATGGGCGGCCAGAGCCACGCGCACATTCAAATCGCCCATGGTAAAGCATTACTCAAGGCTTTCCTATGGACGTCCAGCGTGTCCTCAATGCGATTTTTGCGTTGAGGATTATGGAAGCGCCCTATAGTGGCTGTCCGGGAGACTGCCACTAGAGGCTGCAGGGTTAAAACTAGAGGGACCTGGCACCCAGACCACTTCATTGAGCTGAAGTGGTCTGGGTGCCTTTAGGGGTCCTTTAACCATTTTTGTATTAAAACCCTACATTCTTCCCCCATAATTTGGAATTTCAGGTATTTATGAAAAGAAAAGGCCATTTCCATACCATCCATGCTCTGCCTTACCTGAATAAAGCTCCCCTTCAAATTCATTGTCGGTAGCATGAACATATTTTCCAAGCTGTGGGTTAATCAGATCCTGTAGTCTTAGTGACTGCTTCAGTTCATAATGTTTCACAGACAATGATTCTGCTGTTTTGTTATTGCTGCCAATTTCTTGCTCCTGTTTTGGCTGGGGTAAGTAGCTAGGGATCCTGTACCATAAAAGACAGAACGTGGGAGGGTTAAGATCCAAACAGAATGCATTTCTCGCAAAATACTGAAATTTATGTAACAACCCAACTTTTTTATATATATATTTTTTTTCCATTTTGCAAAAAGTGCAGATTTCAATAGAAATTAACACTTTTTTATAAACTAACCTTGTTACACCTACTTGGCATGTAAGCAGAAAACTGGTAAAGTTAATTCCTGGTTTGGTTAGCTGAATGGAGCTAAACTAAAGAGGCGGCAATTGCTCAGAGCCCCTGCCTTGCAAAGACTTCCCATTGAGCTGCATTGGGAAGTCTGTGATTGGACAGCCACAGAAAGTCTGGGCGGGGATAGAAGGGGAGGACTTGTGAAGGCTGCAGACCACAGACCTGTTAAAAGCAAGCTGTTTTTTGTTTTTTTTAATATACACCCCCAATGCAAAAATGTACAATTAACCCCTTAAAGGACCACTATAGTGCCAGGAAAACATACTCATTTTCCTGGCACTATAGTGCCCTGAGGGTGCCCCCACCCTCAGGGACCCCTTCCTGCCCGGCTCTGGAAGGGGGAAAGGTGGTAAAAACTTACCTTTTTCCAGCGCTGGGCGTTCCTCCCCGTCGGCTGAATGCGCACGCGCGGCAAGAGCTGCGCGCGCATTCAGCCGGTCGCATAGGAAAGCATTATCAATGCTTTCCTATGGACGCTTGCGTGCTCTCACTGTAATTTTCACAGTGTGAATCACGCAAGCGCCTCTAGCAGCTGTCAATGAGATAGCCACTAGAGGCTTTGGGGGAAGGCTTAACCCATTCATAAACATAGCAGTTTCTCTGAAATTGCTATGTTTATAAAAGAATGGGTTAACCCTAGCTGGACCTGGCACCCAGACCACTTCATTAAGCTGAAGTGGTCTGGGTGCCTAGAGTGGTCCTTTAAGGATCAAACTTCTGGAATAAAAGGGAATCATGGCATGTCACACATCATGTGTCCTTAAGGGGTTAAAAGCATGTAAGTTTTAATTTGGGGTATATCTACTAACCAGTGAATTTTTAGTTTTTATTTGGGCAGTGGAGTGTCCCTTTAACTATGGACGGCACTTTTATTTTTCTAAAATCCTCTGTATGTGGCATTGTCTAGGTACCTACCCCAGATTTAAAGCATCACTATAATGTCAGGAAATCAAACTCGTTTTCTTAGGCCCCCCCACCCTTAGGGTCCCCCTTCCTTGGTACTGAAGGGGTTTAATCTCCTTCAGCCACTTACCTTTATCTGGCGCTGGTGACCTCTTCTCCCCTGCCGACGTCAGCTTCCGAGTGGAGCGGAATGCCCATGCGCGGCAAGACCCGCAAGCGCATTCAAACAGTCCATAGGAAAGCATTTCTCAATGCTTTCCTATAGACGTTGTGCATGCTGGATGCGAATTTTGCATCCAGCGTCGCAGAAGCGCCTCTAGCGGCTGTCAGGAAGACAGCCACTAGAGGTTGGATTAACCCTGCAATGTAAACATAGCAGTTTCTCTGAAACTAAGTTTACATCTGAACGGTTAAAACCTGAGGGACCTGGCACCCAGACCACTTCATTGAGCTGAAGTGGTCTGGGGGACTAGTGTCCCTTTAAGGGATTTCTTATTAACCCCTTAAGGACACACGACGAAAATATTCCGTCATGATTACCTTTTATTCCAGAAGTTGTGTCCTTAAAGGGTTAACCTTCTTCACCCCAAGTTGTTGCACACTTGGTGTAGATATGGAAAATAAGAACCCGGCGTTTTGGTCCTTTGTTTTTGAGCTGCCACAGCCTATTAACATTAATTGGCCTACATCTATTATTATTTTTATCATCATTTGTATAGTGCCACAAGCATTTTCCAATTATACAATATGGCTATTAAACAACAAGCAATTGACAGACACAAAAGGTGATGAAGATCCTGCTCAGACCAGCAGACAATCTTTGGTTCTCAGTCCAGCTCTTGCTGGCGTACTATCAGAAGATCTGCAGCACACTAGTGAAAGAATTTCAGTTTTTGATTCTAGTTATAGGCACTCTACAGAAGTAGAAAATAACATGGCGGTTGATACATACTAAATATGCAAAAAAGCATCATTAACATATAACTGAGTTTTAAAAAAAAATGCTTACTTAAATATGGAATACTAAAAGGATTTTTTTTTTTTTTTTAAGTTAATTTTTTCAATTATGAAATGCAAATCGTCCATTGCTGCGAGGCTTATTAATCTTACTTATAATAGACTGGAAGTAAAGTCTCAGTTTCCTTTTCATGCGTTTGACTATCTGATGTTTTAGACTTTTCTTGGTTTGTAGAGGACGAATCATTCCCTTCTGTCATCCGTCCTTCGTTAATTCGTTTGGCAGACCCTGTCAACAGACTGCTATGATTAAACCTCTCCATGTTTTTTTCGTTTTTCTGTCGACTCACAACACAAACTGATGCGGTTTTCTTTTGCTTCATCAGGGTCTCATCATCACAATCAGAAGTCTCTTTAGAAAAACCCAGATCAATAGATAGGGATTTCTCTTTGCTTGATCCAGGTTCCTGCCTTACAAAATGGTTTGTTTTGCATTCGTTAATTTCTTTCATTTCTAATTTTTCAGGTTTTTTCCACATACTTTTTCCATATTCAACACTCGTATCAGCTTTTATTTGTTTGGAAAGCAAAGCGTTTTTCAAGTGACATGGCTTGTGTTGAGGATGGTGAATTTTTATTTCCCCCCGGCTACGTACACTGGACATAATACCCGTGGTATCGTACAATCCCTTTGCATTCCATTCTCGGAATGGTAGGAAGGCCTGCCCTCTGTCTTCCACAACCTCTTTAGAAAAGTGTAGATCAACCGATATTTTTTTGATGAATTGGGACTGCCGTTGCACAAAATGCTGGGCCTTTGAGGGGAATTCATGCGCAGTTAAACCCAAATAACTTTTTGTATAAAAATGGTCTGGTGGTAATCTGTATCCCAGAAGCCTTTGAGAAGACGTGCCTTGCACATGTCTCTGTAGGGGATATTCCATTTTGGTACACAGAAAATAATCTATAATACAAAAATAATAAGAATGTACATCACTGATTCTTGAACGAAACGTACTCTAATACAAAATAAGATGTGAACTATATAAAATAATAATATAAACCACTACAAATGTATTTTATATTATTTTTGCCTATTTGTTGACATAGCTAAGGAATAGCTGGATTTGGGACTGAGAGTTTCTGGTTCCCCATAGTATCACAAATAATTAAATAATATCCTTTTGTACATTTTTTATTTCATTTATATATTTATAGTTAAATGTCCATTCTCTGAAGTGACATTTTATTCATTCTGTCTGTAGTTACAAATATGTTACGGACATCAGATTTTAAACACAAGATAAATAAGTGAACCTATTTATGGAAGAATCATTTATCCAACTGCTATTAACACATAATGACGTTTATTCACCAAATGCCAAACTGTAATGAATTGAAAATGAAATTACAATATTTAGTCAAAAATGATAATTCGGAGCGTATGGCACTGTGGGGGTTATATTGTTACAATGATGAAGCCCAGGGAAAGTACGCATATGTTGTACATTTAAAAAAAAAATTAAAAACTATTGTGAATGTTCGAGAGATGAATGCACAACCTAGAACTGACTTTTACTATGAAATCTCAGTTGACCGTTTAACTTTAAAAGCATGTACATGCAAACAAGTAAATTCCATAAGAACACATAGCAGTGCTGTGCAATAGAGTACTGGAACAAGATAAGTGTACCTTAATGTTAAGTTTATCACAGTGTAAAACCTGTGTCCGATATGTGCAAACGCTTTGGCTTTCTGCAGGTCAGACGTAGATTAGTTAGGCATTATAATTAAAATATCCAATTAGTAGGCAGTAGAAACATCCATTTTTATATGTAGATCAAGCGAAGGCAGATCACCATTTCAAGTCAAACTGAAATACCCATGATGCTTGGCTAGCCTTAAGCCAGGCAAAGCATTATGAGATTTGTAGTCTGATACAGATGCAGATGTACATTTTTAGCCATTTGCCTGTAAAGATCTTTAAAATCCTGGATGTTTTAACTATTATATTAATATATCAACTCCTTACCAGATAGGCCAATCCTGTTTATCTTCAGGGAACATGCAGAAGTGGCAATGCTATCACATTTCCAATCTCTACTCTCACACCAACACTGACTGGCAACACATTGCTGTTGTCATGGCTGCTACACAATGTGACCTGTAATCTCTGTACACAAACTACTCTATTATTGAAATAGAAGGGCTATTTTATTCCAAAGCACGTCGTAACGTGAACTTTACTCCAGTTTCTTTCAAGCGAAAGAATAAAGATTGTGATAGACACAGTTTAAGTTTCGGGATACAATAGAAATGAAATGAATTCCAACCATTTTTAATACATTAAAGAGAGAATACGTGAAAAAAATGCAAGTAAAAAAATAAAATTAAAAAGAACAAATTTAAATCTGCTGCAGTTGGCAGACTATTCTCTCCCCAGGAAGGGGCTCCACCAAAAAGAAGTCTGTCGTTCTAGTCTGTGTGTCTGATCCGAAACCTCTGTCCTCCCTGCAATAAGTAGTTTTCCCCTAACTGCAGTTATTAACAAGATGGCAAGTAGCTGATGGGAGATTTGACTGTCCATGTTGGTAGGTGCTGGATTGTTAAAACATTCTTACCATCATCTACACTTTATTTTTCAAGACTGTACTTCATTATACAGGTTTTTTTTGTTTTTTAAATCGTGTTCTGATCAATTTCAGTTTGCCGTTTTTGGTTTTGTTTTAAATCTGCAAATATTGAATAGATAATCACAAATAGTACATCAAATATAGAAGTACAACCATCAAATTAGGCCACATGAGAGTAAACATGGCTGTGTTAATATCTTGGGGTTTTAGTTAACATCCTTTACAACCAGGAAAGTAAATAAGCCGTTTCCAAACGCGACTTATTGGGAGTATATAAAAACAATATAGTTAACCTAATCGGGAGATGCCAGGGAACAATAATAGAACTCCACCAAGATCACGTTATCCTGTACAGATAAAAATGGCATTAAAAAATGTTCCAATAGAATAAAAAGAGGAGAGTAATGGTATTAAAGACTAAAGAAAAGGAAGGGAATCCCCTTTGCAAAAAGTAAAAAAAAAAAGTGTTCAGCTCTGTAAGAATGGGGACAAAGCTGTAGGGCCAGAGAATAACATAGGGGAGCAGGCCTACCAAAGGTCAGGCCCTATCTTTCCCACCTGCAACGACACCATGTCCCGAGCGAAGCAGAATCCACCTTATAGACTGGCCTTATCCTGTCACTCAGAACCTAAAAAAACTCTGTTCAAGGAAGGTCTGCGCCTCATGCCAGCCCATAAAACCAGTACGTTGTGTAACGCTGCATTTCAACATCTGTCGTGGCCGGCATACTTTCTTATTGCCTAATCTCCTCCACTCTAGCCACCCAGCAGACGGGAGAAGACCATTTGGCATTACGCCAGGTCAGCGATATTGTTGCTTTAGCAGATCATGGCAAGCGGGTCACCACAGAGATCCGGAACGCTTAAGTGGAGAGAGTAGTGTGAACACCAAGCACTTAACCGGGAGATTCCCTTAAATTATTCGGTGATTGATTGCGTTATGTCCCAGACGCCAAGCCCCCACGGTCGTATTGTATTGTATGTGTTGATGACCACCTGTTGGGAATGCCTGTCCAAATATGTGCACGTTTCTGAATAACCTTGCACCTGTTTTACCCTTCACCAAGCCTCGGCTGATGTTTGGGAATAATGTTATAATCAGTTTTGCCATCATGCTCCAGAGAAAAGGAATACTTGGCGGAGATACTCAGTCGGAATATAGGAGCTTTGTCACACCTCCCTCTCATGATCCAGGTCAATGCTACCAGGGACGTCCAAATTGGTGTGACTCCTCCAGTGCCACCTACTAAGCTTAGTGTGATTCTCCACATTCCAAGCCACCACAAGACAGGTGTGAGACATCCATATCCTAAAGGGCCATCTTCCCCCTTGTACTTCGGCAAAATCAATTTACGATGCTACCAAGGAGCTTGTCCATGCTCTAGTAATTTCCCGCATGGATTATTGTATCCCTTTCCTAATTGGTCTTCCCAAAAGCCGTATTGCCCCGCTACAGTCTGTAATGAATGCTGCTACCAGACCGATTTTCCTCTCTAGTCGTCGGTCCTCTCACCCCTCTCTCAGTCCTTACATTGGCTTCCTGTATCCTATAGGAGTCAATTCAAAGTGCTAACCCATACCTATAAAGCACTAAACAATTCTAGCCCCTCTTATATCTCTTCACAGATCCATAGGTATGCCCCTCCTCGTTCCCTCCGCTCTACCCCTGACCGCTGCTCGCACCCATATGGCTAACTCGCTCTTGCAGGACTACTCCCAGGCATCTCCCTTCCTATGAAACAGCCTGCCTACCACCATCAGACTCTCCCCTAGTCTTCAATCATTTAAGAAGTACCTTAAAACCCATCTCTTTAGGAAAGCTTATGGGCTCCCAGAGTAACCTCTACCTTACATACCTGTCTCCTGCTCTCTCCCAAAGGGCAGCACACTACCTGTAAGTTTTCTTGTAATTGTCCTATTTATAGTTAAATCCCCCCTCTCATAATATTGTAAAGCGCTACGGAATCTGTTGGCGCTATATAAATGGCGATAATAACTAAAAAGATTCTCTGTGATTTTAGCACCATGTAAAGTGCCCTATAAACAATCAAAGCACCTTGAAAGCTGTGGGGGAAGGCTGATAGGAATCATTTGGAAGAGATATAGAAGATGTGGGACATACAAGGTCATTCCCTAAATTGAGAATTATTAGGGATTGAAAGTGAATTTTCAAATTTAAGGTGAAAATAGCCAAATGTAAAACAGAATTAACTGGGACATTTTTTCTAATTTGGTTATTTTAGCCTATCGTGAAAATAACTTTGAATTCCCAACATCGTAATTTTATTGAATAACCCTGTAAAGTTTGGTTTTCACTTTGAATTCACTTTTAATGTCCGGTGACTTACACTTTTTTTGTTTATGATCCTGTCTGTGTTACTTGAGCGCTCTTGATATGCCAAGGTCAAATTGGAGTCACATAGATTTCCACACAAATAAAGGCGCAGTGCTCCAAATCAGGAGGAGTGCAGTATATCCGCACAAGGAATATACAGAGCTTTATATTAGCAGGAGGTGTGGGAAGAGCCCTAGGGTCGCCTTATTGTTTAAACCTGCTTCAAATAACACAGAGTGCACAGATCTCTATATTAGCACTTGGCAGAAGTGCACAGATCTCTGTATTGGCAGTAGGAGTGCACATATCTCTGTATTAGGAGGTGTATAAACATCTCTGTATTAGCAGCGTGAATGTACATATCTCTGTATTAGGAGGAGGTGTTCACATATCTCTGTATTAGGTGTATAAATATCTGTGTATTATGAGTAGGAGTGTACAGATCTCTCTGTATTAGGAGGGGTGTATAAATATCTGTGTATTATCAGTAGGAGTGTACCTGTCTCTGTATTAGGAGGGGGTGTATAAATATCTGTGTATTAGCAGTAGGAGTGTACAGATCTCTCTCTGTATTAGGAGGGGGTGTGTAAATATTTGTATATTAGGAGGGGGTGTGTACATATCTGTATATTAGGAGGGGGTGTGTATATATATCTGTGTATTAGGAGGGGGTGTATATATATCTGTATATTAGGAGGGGGTATATATATATCTGTATATTAGGAGGGTGTGTGTGTATATATATATATATATATATATACATATATATATATATATATAATCTGTGTATTAGGAGGGGGTGTGTATATATATCTGTGTATTACGAGGGGGTGTGTATATATATATATATATATCTGTATATTAGGAGGGTGTGTGTATATATATCTGTGTATTAGGAGGGGGTGTGTATATATATCTGTGTATTAGGAGGGGGTGTGTATATATATCTGTATATTAGGAGGGGGGTGTATATATATCTGTGTATTAGGAGGGGGTGTGTGTATATATATATCTGTGTATTAGGAGGGGGTGTATATATCTGTGTATTAGGAGGGGGGTGTATATATCTGTGTATTAGGAGGGGGTGTATATATATATCTGTGTATTAGGAGGGGGTGTGTATATATATATATCTGTATATTAGGAGGAGGTGTTCACATATCTCTGTATTAGGTGTATAAATATCTGTGTATTATGAGTAGGAGTGTACAGATCTCTCTGTATTAGGAGGGGTGTATAAATATCTGTGTATTATCAGTAGGAGTGTACCTGTCTCTGTATTAGGAGGGGGTGTATAAATATCTGTGTATTAGCAGTAGGAGTGTACAGATCTCTCTCTGTATTAGGAGGGGGTGTGTAAATATTTGTATATTAGGAGGGGGTGTGTACATATCTGTATATTAGGAGGGGGTGTGTATATATATCTGTGTATTAGGAGGGGGTGTATATATATCTGTATATTAGGAGGGGGTATATATATATCTGTATATTAGGAGGGTGTGTGTGTATATATATATATATATATATATACATATATATATATATATATAATCTGTGTATTAGGAGGGGGTGTGTATATATATCTGTGTATTACGAGGGGGTGTGTATATATATATATATATATCTGTATATTAGGAGGGTGTGTGTATATATATCTGTGTATTAGGAGGGGGTGTGTATATATATCTGTGTATTAGGAGGGGGTGTGTATATATATCTGTATATTAGGAGGGGGGTGTATATATATCTGTGTATTAGGAGGGGGTGTGTGTATATATATATCTGTGTATTAGGAGGGGGTGTATATATCTGTGTATTAGGAGGGGGGTGTATATATCTGTGTATTAGGAGGGGGTGTATATATATATCTGTGTATTAGGAGGGGGTGTGTATATATATATATCTGTATATTAGGAGGAGGTGTTCACATATCTCTGTATTAGGTGTATAAATATCTGTGTATTATGAGTAGGAGTGTACAGATCTCTCTGTATTAGGAGGGGTGTATAAATATCTGTGTATTATCAGTAGGAGTGTACCTGTCTCTGTATTAGGAGGGGGTGTATAAATATCTGTGTATTAGCAGTAGGAGTGTACAGATCTCTCTCTGTATTAGGAGGGGGTGTGTAAATATTTGTATATTAGGAGGGGGTGTGTACATATCTGTATATTAGGAGGGGGTGTGTATATATATCTGTGTATTAGGAGGGGGTGTATATATATCTGTATATTAGGAGGGGGTATATATATATCTGTATATTAGGAGGGTGTGTGTGTATATATATATATATATATATATACATATATATATATATATATAATCTGTGTATTAGGAGGGGGTGTGTATATATATCTGTGTATTACGAGGGGGTGTGTATATATATATATATATATCTGTATATTAGGAGGGTGTGTGTATATATATCTGTGTATTAGGAGGGGGTGTGTATATATATCTGTGTATTAGGAGGGGGTGTGTATATATATCTGTATATTAGGAGGGGGGTGTATATATATCTGTGTATTAGAGGTGTGTGTATATATATATCTGTGTATTAGGAGGGGTGTATATATCTGTGTATTAGGAGGGGGTGTATATATCTTTTCGTGTATATTAGGAGGGGTGCATATATATATCTGTGTATTAGATAAAGTGTATATATATATATATATCTGTATATTAGAAAGGGTGCGGATACATATCTGTATTAGAGGGGTGTGTATATGGTATTCTGTATTAGGAGGGGGTGTATATATGTATTCGTGTATTAGGAGGGGGTGTGTGTATATATATCTGTGTATTACGAGGGTGTGTATATATATATATATATCTGTATATTAGGAGGGTGTGTGTATATATATCTGTGTATTAGGAGGGGGTATGTATATATATCTGTGTATTAGGAGGGGGTGTGTATATATATCTGTGTATTAGGAGGGGGTGTGTGTATATATATATATCTGTGTATTAGGAGGGGGGTGTATATATCTGTGTATTAGGAGGGGGTGTATATATATCTGTGTATTAGGAGGGGGTGTGTATATATATCTGTGTATTAGGAGGGGGTGTGTTGTGGAAATAAGGTCTACGCATATTTCCTGGTTAAAGGAAAATGTCTATTTACTCATTTTACAATATATATATATCTCACATATAAAGCTAAGTACACATATTTCAATCAAGATGGCTGCTAGAAGCTTCTAACCCCTCCTTCCCCTCCCTTTTTAAACATCGACTAACTACCTCGTGTAACAAGATGGCGCCGGAAAACCGTGGGAGACCCTCATGGTCCCGGTGACATCACCTGCAGTAGGCAGAGCATTAGAGCAACCACTTAACACCTAACCAATTATTGATGTATCATTCCATGTTATCTCTGACAATGCATATGATGTAATTTTGCTTTAAAAGGGACTTGCCGTCCCCTCTGAATAAACTTTCCTCAAGTTATTCAACAACCTAGAACCTGTGTCTGGTGTGAATTACTTCAGGGAGCGTGCACGCATAGTTTCATTGATTTGGCCAGGGGCAGATACACAAGAAATAATCAATACCTTAATTGATTTTTCCACTTCAATTGGCGCCCAACGTGGGGCCCACCGGAGAGCCGGTTCGGAGAGCCGGAACCAACGGACCGGAGCGGACCTCCGGAAAGTGGGACAAGCGGAGCCTGATCACCTCCATAATACAGCCGTTGCCTGTGTTATTCTCCTGTTTTGTGCCGGTCTGTCTCCGAGTCCACTTCCGGCTTCCAGAAGGCTACTAGAGACAGGTAACTAACTCATCCGGTGCGCCCTTTTTCTAAGTGAACCTGTCGATTGTCTATCTGCCTCCTGTATTCATTTATGTGTGTGTGTTTATTATACCTTTAAGACATGTTTGCTTGACTGCCTAGCGGGCAGGGAACGCAGTTTATGTTTGCTTGACTGCCTAGCGGGCAGGGAACGCATTTTATATGTTTGCTTGACTGCCTAGCGGGCAGGGAACGCATTTTATATGTTTGCTTGACTGCCTAGCTGGCAGGGAACGCATTTTATATGTTTGCTTGACTGCCTAGCGGGCAGGGAACGCATTTTATATGTTTGCTTGACTGCCTAGCGGGCAGGGAACGCATTTTGTATGTTTGCTTGACTGCCTAGCGGGCAGGGAACGCATTTTATATGTTTGCTTGACTGCCTAGCGGGCAGGGAACGCATTTTATATGTTTGCTTGACTGCCTAGCAGGCAGGGAACGC